GTGCACTTGCAAGAACTGCATGACTTGAAAGTATGAGTAAACATGAGAATTATAAACAAAAGTCCGAAAACCTTGGTGGCCGCATCCATGTCCACGTGCTTTGAGATTTTGCCCCCACGGCCCCCACTCTTCGAGCCTTCATCATCACTACTGTCCTGTATGCCCTCCACAGGCGGGGGTGAGGCCTTGCGAACGTTGTCGGGCTTGGCACCTTTCTTGGGGGACACGTCCTGGGGGCTTCTTGGCTTCTTCGGGCTGGCACCTTTTGGCTTCTTCGGGCTGTGTTTTTTCTTGGGGGAGGCCTTGCAGGGGCTTCTCGGTTTCTTCGGGCTGGCAGCTTTTGGCTTCTTCGGAGACCTCTTTGGCTTGGCTGGGGCTGGCAGTTCCTCATTTGCTTCTTCCTGCTCTGCCTCCTCTTCAACCACCGAAATCTGGCTCAGCCGGCGCTTCAGACGCGCGTTGGCCTGCCAGACACATGCAGTACTTAATTTCGATGATATATTTATCTGTCTATACATGCATACACATATTTGTATATACATGTTTACACATAAATGTACATATATACGTGTACACACACACACATATATATATATATTTACATGTATATTCCATGCATGTAAACCGAGCTGAAGAGAATAAAACTACATCTATATGTCTATGAACCTATCTATATATCAATATAGACAAGCCTTTGGGAACAAAGTCTCTGTCTTACAAGAACGAAGACACCTCTACTTTCTTTCGACCTATCTACCTATTTACCTACTTAGCTAATTATTTTCCCACCCAGATACCTACCCAGCACGTCATCTGTGGGCATACACACACACACACATATATATATATATATACATGCACACATACAGACATATATTTATATATAATAAAAAACTACATACTATATGTACATATATATGTATACATATCTGTGTGTGTGATACGTGTGTGTGTGTGTTTAATTATTTATACCATCTATTGATCTCTGGACCTGCAAGGAAAGAGGCGACAACAAGTCGATGTGTCAGAAAATGCTCCTGCGCTGATTGGTGGTTGGCGAGGAAGCATGAGCATTTGTGGACAGCCGTTGCTATGTTACCTGCTGCAAGAGAAAAAGTGGAGAAGCAAACAGAGACAGAGAGAGAAAGAGAGCGAGAGNNGAGAGAGAGAGAGTGAGTCAGAGAGAGAGAGAGAGAGAGAGAGCGAGCGAGCGAGCGAGAGAGAGAGAACGAGAGAGAGAGAGAAGAAGAGATGTGACAGAGCGAGAGAGAGATAGAGAGAGGGAGAGAGAGAGAGAAGGAGAAGGATAAGGAGAGAGACAGAGAGACAGGTATACAGCAAAGGAAAGCGAAACCGTGTATATGTATATCTATATACACATCAGAACAAGCTCTATATAGGCAGCAAGATAGCATGTTTGGATTTCCCAATGTTTTCTCTATCCTTCTCCCTTGTTGGTGTCCAACTAAGAAGATCATGAGTCAGCTTATGCCAGGCACCTTCTCAAGCCTCCGGATTTGCAATGCTGCAGCATCATCTAGCTCCTCATCCTCCGACTCCGGAGCTGTAGCAGGGCTGTAGCGGCGTGTGCATCGGCCATCATCACTGCTTGCCTCAGCACTTCTTGAGGCTTCGACAGCCATTGCCTGCTTCGGCTCCTTGGTAACTTTCTTCTTCGCTGGTTGAGACTTGGCAGCAGTGGCTTTCTCTGGCTTCGCGGGCTTCTCTGGCGGGGTGATGAGCGGGCCAATGGCCCGACCAGCCTCATCATCATCATGCAGTATCGCAATACACAAGCAAAACATTGTAGGGTGTGCATAGGTAGCATTGTAGTCGTCACACAGATAGACACACACACATACAAAAACGAGTATAGCATTCAGCCGTGCGTCTCGCTTCGGAGTCCTAAAGTCGGCTGGCACCGTGGAGGCCTAGGCATTCACAGAGGTGAGCTGCATGGCATGGTCAATGCATAGCAAGCTGGCAGCACAGTCACAACCAACACTGCCAGTGAAATGAATATACAGAAGAGGCACCTCCGAAATCGAAGAGCCCTTGCGCCTGATTGCTTTCATCTCTGCGAGTTTCTTCTCTTGTTCCTCGATTGCATGGGTTTATGGTTCATGGCTCAGGGCTTACAGGCTCTCTCTCACTCGGGTTCAGCTGGGTTTAGGGCTTGCATAGGGTTTATATATATATATATGGTTCAGGGTTTAGGGCTTGTGTATAGGGTATTTAATATACATATATATATATATATTACAAGGTTCAGGGTTTAGGG